AAACCTTTGTTGTCATCGGCTAAATCTAACTTATATGTATATGCAATCCTTATGAGCTGATGCAACGTCCAGATAACTCACCGGCTGAAACCCCGATGAAACCCTTATTGACAATCAAGAAGCAAGCTAGAGATTATGGTTCTAAGCACGACTTAGTAGATCAAACTTAACTGATGCAGCACTAAGTATGAAAAGAAACATAATATCTAGACAATCAAGCCGTTGACTGAGTTTTCAGGGTGGTAGATGTCTAAGCTAATCTAATCTAGCAACGCAATTTAGCCGATACCAGCAGAAACCCTAAAACGAGAAGCAGCCGATAGAGCTAAATTGATATGCTAAGACTAGATTAACAGAGACATATGATAAATAGGTAGGCAAATATATTATCCAAAGCAGAGTAATCCAAGAGGTCGAATGTACTGATGTAGCCTTGAACGACGCCGACGTAGATGATACAATTGCTTGGACCGATGGAACATTGGACTTATCCCTTCGCCGGAGATCGAAGACGATGCAGCCTCGCGTCGGGTGCCAAGTCCCGCCGGACGATAAAATAAAGTAGAAAAGGTAAAAGGTGGCGATGTGCGGAATTGTATTGATCGTGAAGAAGATTACATAGATCCCAGGTGTACATATTTATACCCATGGGTTGATACAAGTCCTTGTCGGACAAGAAATAAACTTTCCTAAAGATAAAAGGAAAAGATAAAGTCCTTATAGGACACTAAACACACTTTACTAAAGATAAAAGGAAACTAACAAACTATTCCTAATTAATAGATAACTTGCCATGCCACATTCTCTTTGAACTCGGTTTCTTCTAGATAAGCTTCCTTTAGTAGATCAATTTCCTTAACCGAATATAGTAAGAATCCGACAATTGACGACTTGACAACTCTCATCGGCTAATCTCAAGACTTCGAAGCCGATGCTGACTCTAAGCCGATGACTACTCCGGGCTTACCAAATTTCACTGTTAACAGTATTATATGTTTAGGGTTAATTGGATTCATGCCATATTATAAATTTGACTGTTTTAAAAAATACCATTATAATTCGTCTAATTGGAACGATGTCATTAAAACTCTTCTAAAATCAGATTCATGCTATCCTATACACTTGATAAGCTATTTGAATCCTTTTTTAACTAACATATTTTCGTATGGACCAAATTGCCCATTTCTTCTTCCTTCATCTCTTCTCCTCTCTCTCCTGTTCATCCTTCCCATCTGTTAGATCCTATCGATCTCATCTTAATTTCTTTTTCCCTTACTTTGGGCCTCATCTCTAACTGACCAACAACAACAAGAAACAAGCCCCCCGACCCCCCCCCCCCCCCTCTCCTCTTTCGGTGAGCAAGTAGCAACAGCAGCAAGGGAGCAAGCGGCGGCGGTGACGTAAGCAGCAGCAGGGGAGCAAGCGGCGGCGAGCAAACACGACGGGTCTCCGGCGCCGGTTTCTGGTACTCACCTCGCTCGGCCGAAGTTCGCCGCTACATTGAGTTGAGCTCGGTGCTGCAGTGGGAGGGCAGCTCGTGTGGTGGTCGTCGCCGGCGAGCTATTGACCATTCCATGCCGGGTGGGCAGCTCGTGTGGTGGGCATGTGTAATTTTTTTCTAATGTATATTTAGCCAAAAACTACCACAACCAAAATTTTGGGGAAGCAGAGGTGGTGTAGTGGTGGAGTTGTGACTTGTGAGTGCATGACTTCACCCACAAGGATTAAATTTTGGTGTCCACCAATATTACGCACATGCGAGTAGACCTTCAATATTACTTTGGTGAGATCAAGGATGTACCATTGGTTTCCGTCTCTTAGAGCATGTGTTAGGCGACGCGTTCGTAAGATGTGAGGTGTGGTGTTGCGAGTGTAGTGGTTTATGTGCGCGTCTGCCATATAATCTTAAAACACTACCATAATTTTAAATCTGGTTTAAAAATTTAAGCTGAAATCAACGAAGTATTTGAAATTCTCGAAAGTCCAGACACACTATCAAACTATTGTTACACTGCACGAACTTTGTAGTGATGTCATATAAAAATGGTTAGCGGTACTACGAATATATATTGACAAAATGTTCAGTCGAAAAAAATAGAAGACCATTTAACATTTATGGTCCAAAATAGATCACAGACCGCTACACTCAAGCACAAGACAACAATCCATAATTCTCCCAGTATATGTACCATGAGGTCATAAATTAATCAATATTCTCAACTTCGAAAACTATGAATCGGCAGCTTGTGTTCTCAACTACATCTCTTCATTTTTCGCACGCATATATTTCTCAGACTACTAAATGGTATGTTTGATGAAAAAAAATTCTACGAAAGTTGCTTTAAAAGTTTATATTAATATATTTTTCAGAAAAAAAATACTAATACTTAATTAATCACGTGCTAATAAATCACCTTGTTTTACGTGTTTGACCTACCGAACACAGCCTTAAAACAAAAGCAAACCAAACGGATTTACCTCACATTAATCCCTGGAATTTCTATTTCTAATTTAAATCCAGCCACCACATCGATCCGCACTAACTGTCTCATCTCTCAATCACAGCTCGTATTTCATCCATGAGGGAAGGGAAATCCTGCAACAATCGAAGGTACCCCTGCGTCGTCGCCGCCTTCCTGAAGTGTTCGTCCTCGCGCGCGAGGTAGTCGAGGCACTTCTTCTTCAGCTCCGGGCAGCCGTACGTCTCGGCGCAGACGATGATCCCGGCGACGTTCTCCGGCGTGACGTTGTCGAGCAGCTTCTTGGTGGACAGCAGCTTCAGCCCGCCGAGCTCGTACCGCTCCGCCGCGGCGAGCAGGTGCTGGAACATGTCCACCGGGGAGAATCCGGCGAGCTCGTCGATGTCGTCGGGCAGCGCGTCCGTGTAGATGAAGTGGAGCACCGCGCGGAACGCCGCCGGGTCCATGTCCCGGAGCGCGACCGACGGCGCGGTGGCCTCCGCCATGGAGCCGAAGAGGGCGGCCTTGAAGACCGGCGAGCGCGCGGCGAGCACGGCGCGGTGCGCGCGGAACGTCTCGCCGCCGACGACGAGCGCGACGTCCGCGGTGTCGTCGGCGGCGCCGTAGAGCAGGCGGCCGATGTGCCCGCCTCCTCCACCGGACGACGGAGGCGGCGGCGGCGGCGGGGACAGCGCCTGTGGGCTGTCGCTCGGGATCAGGACGCCGCAGACGACGGTGACCCAGCCGTCGCCGGACACGAACTTCTTCTCGAGCTCGCTCCGCGACGCGAAGTACATCCACCCGGCGGCGGCCTTGCCGCCGCCGCGGCCGCCGGCGCCGAGAGGGTAGACGGCGACGAAGCTCTTGGCGTGGACCGGGGACGGGTGGCCGTCGAGGTGGACGAGGAACGCGGCGAAGATGGCCCTGACATTGGTGGACCGGGTGACGAGGTCGAGCTTGATGGAGAGGTACTCGCCGCCGATCCGCTGGCCATTGCTGTTCATCGCGCCGCCGCCGCGAGGGTAGCAGAGGACACGCCACGTGTGGCCGCCGGCGTAGATGTCGTCGGAGCGGACGAAGTCGCCGGCGGCGAGGTCCTCGTACCGGAGCTTCAGCTCGATGAAGCCGCCGTCCAACATGGCGATCGAATCGTGTTTCGTGCTAGATGGAACGCGATTAACGAGAAGAGGATAACGATGGTTTACGTCATTTTAAACCATGTCATTTTTTAAAAGTTACCAAATATTTACATACATTTTTTTCCAAATTTTGATAAATACATAAGAAATTCTACAATATTGTCAACTTAACAAAATTTGGTAAGGTTTATTTTAGCTATAATATGGACAACGCTTAAATCTAAAAAAAAAAAACCCTGCTTATTCTGTTGCGTATGTTGCCTCTTCAGCATCCGTGGGCTTCTTGGCCTTCTCCCATAAATTTTACAAATATTTTGACAGAAATTTGTTAAAGAAACAAATGTCTGGCAGAAATAGTTTTTTCTTTCAAATTTGCCATACGTTTATCAATAAATTTTATTAAAAAATTGATAAATGTAAAAAAATGTAGAGTAAATATATTGTAACTTATATATCTACACTAAAATATAAGTTTACCAAACATTGTTTAAGTTTTTCATACCTTATACTCCGTATTAGGTAAATTTGACCGAGTTCGCCCCCTTTTTTATGTATAGACGCACTTGTGGCAAGATCTCATTTCTCATGGTTCACATATTATCAACTGAAAAATCTTATTTCCTAGAGGAATTTCACAGTTGTTAAAAAAATATCTCAAGATACCTAAATTAACTTGAAATATTTAGTACTTAGATATACCAAATTTTGAACTAGAAAATATCTCATTTCTTATGGATGATAAAATTATCTCATTTCTTATGGTTCACATATCATATGGCTAATGTATGGCTCACTTTTTGCTAGCTATAACTTGAACAAGTGTGATAAATGATACTACTAGCAAACTTAGAGCAAGTTTAATAGTATAGCCAACTACTAGCTCCAATTCATCTATAGCCAATCTAATAGCTCATTCATACAATAGTTATATACTACGCTATTAATACCTGGTCCCACATGTCATACACACCCTGCATCTTGGAGTCCGTGCTACAGCTGGCTACAAATCTGTAGTCTGCTTCTCTTCTCTCTCCTTATTTATCTTCTTAAAATATGTTTGCAGCTGGCTTATAGCCTGCTATTGTACCCGCTCTTAGAATACTCCCTAGCATTCAAACAGCCCCTTCATACCAAGGCTTGTTCTCCGGGACGCCGATGGGGTAGAAGGTCCCCTTGCATCTGGTGAAATGTCGCTTGCCATCTGTTGTGGTCGCCGAAAAACTCGAGGTGCCCCTGCACAAGCATCATCTTGCGAGGGGTACCCGTGTTTGCAATGCCGGTGTTCATAATTTGATCCGGAGAGAGATCTTGTTTAAATACAAGTCGTATAGCTTAGCAAGGCGAGAGTCTGATAAACGTTAAAGAGTTCAGGCCTCCAGGGCAAGCATAATACACCATAATATAATATTAAGACGGTCATGCATGCCAAGAGGCAAGAGCAATGTGTCTGTTAAGAGTTAGCAACGAAAAGTTAAGTTCAACTGAATGTCCGATGCTTTCCTTTCAAGAAAATGTTGAAATTTCTCACACGCATGAATGGAATGAAGCAGATGCAGATGAGATGATGAAGGTTTTCCTTCTTCCATCAGGAAAATCAGTCTCCGCTTAGATGACAATTTTGAACGAATACAAACTCTATTCTGTAAAGGTCCGACAACTCTAAGGCCTAAGCTTTCACATACTCACGAATGAACTCCTCAACCGCTGAAACATTACCGGTCAGACCAGCACCTTCAGTAACTGTCACCTTGTTCTGGCATTGGCTGAAATTAAATGCTTCTCCAGGGTTCCCAAGCTTGACTTCATCAGTGATGTCAGCAGATGATATGGCGTTCCTTGATTCCCGGAGCTTGTTTCTACACAACAGTAAAATCAGCACACAAGTAGTTTAAGTTAAATGAGTTGCTGATTATAGTGACCTCGGTTATTTCAAGTATGTAAACATGTGTACTCTAGAGACTTGTATTGCAGAATAATTTATTGTATCCACTAAAGCTACATCATAAGTTATAGGTGGACGCATTAAAATTGTAGAAATTTAATATAAACACCATCACAATCTGATGCACTATAGTTATACTAATATGATATGTTAGAAGAAAAAACATACAATTCCTTTTCCAATTGCTTCTTGATGAATTCTTTTGAGTGAGCTGTAACTTTATCTGTCTTGTTGCAGAATATCAGAACAGGAACCCTCTTCTTCACTACAGTTGCCTTTGTCAGGATGTCATACAAGTACCTGCGGAAAGAGAATATTGTAAGACCATAGCAACTGCAACAAAAGGCTGACACAGCACACAATTTATTACTCCGTATTTGTCTCGGCATGACAAGACGGAAGCTCCTAGTCACACTTCTAATCTCATTCCAGTAAGAGATGGATTTCAATTTAAGCTAAAATAAACACCACATATTTTTACTAAGAACAGGATGTAAGTCAGCGAAATTACTCTGCAGCAGCATGCATGGTAGACAAGAAATCTTGAGCATCAACAACATAAACTATTCCAGCTGCTTGAGGCAGGACTTCATCAAGTTTGGGTTTGAGCCTTGCATGACCAGGAACGTCAACAACATGAACAGGTTTTACTTTGCCTCTCTGCAGAGCGAACAAGAACATGCATCAATATATTGTAGTCAGCAAATGCATGGTTCTATATAACAGGATAGTCTTCCTTTCATTTCATATCAAGATGTTTAAAATATTTGTCTCTAAGAAGTTGCCTTACCCTCTCCAGCTCAGAATGAAGCACGAAAGTATCGTTGTTTTGTTCCATTGAAGTCACAGTTCCTTGATGTGTTGATCCATCCCGAAGCTAGAGAAAGGGAGAATTAGCACAGACCACAGAGACAAAAGATACTCAACTCAAATTAACATGAAAAGGGAACAGTGGTGATGTATGATGTTGCGATTCAATATATCATGGAAAGAATACAGACAGGAGCATATTAAGTCGAAGCAAGGTAAGCTGAAGAGATACCCATAGATTACAACATCAAAATCAGATTGAGTAGGTTATTTAAAATGGTCATTTCCTAAGCTACTGAACTGTACATGTATAGAGGTTGAAACAATAGAAAGAAAAACGAGTTCAGAATTGAAGACCATTAAATGTTTAGCCATTATTCATCAATTTGATACAATTTCATTTCTCCGCTTTAATCCATCAAAAATAAAAAATAACTGTCACTGAAGGAGTGAGAAACACACATAAAAAGGAACCATATATGGGCATTGAATGATTGAAACAGAAAATTACCTGGTAGAAGAGAATAGTTTTGCCACTACCACTGAGCCCAGATAGCACTATGGTGTTTGCTTTCGAGGATTTCAGGCACGAAACTGAAATAAAACAGAAGCCAGGAATTGCATATTAATTACTGCACATGCAGCTCCATCAAAATAATGTAGCAAAATGACTACTTTAGAAGTTCCACTTTTTGGTGATGGTGGACTCACTTATACCATACTGAGGAATTTGTGTGTGCGCTTGTGCCACAAATTAAACAGATACACATATGCAATTGATCAGATGGATTGAAGGCAAACTAGGTAATATGAGTTACTCAAACATTATCGCAACATGTAACAGCGACAAGGGTACAAAAGGTAAGCTCAGGCTTCAGAATGTAACCTTATTTGAGCTTGGCAACAATATACTGTATTATGGCTGGCTATTGAGCTACGCGATCAGATGCACAAACTAGTTCATTAATTCGCAATTATGGCTATGAAACAAACTGCTGGATTATGGAGTTGCACTGGAAACAACTCTAGCCAGTTGCTAAATTCTCGAAGCCTAAGCAATTTCAGTATCACTTGTGCCCACGCTTCCTAGCTCTTCCATAAACCAGTACTCTCGTATGCAAGATTTGAAGCAACCAAAAAAAAAAACTAGGCAGGCTTGAATAGTTGAATTGATACATCACCTGCGACCAGCAACAGAACCGTCACGGCGACCACCGCGACGGCGACGTAAACCTGCTCGGGAGGCTGCTGCCGGATCCACCTCTCGGCTTGTCCCACCCACACCTCGGCCTGGCGAACCCACTCGTCCATCCCTGCACGAAACGAGGCGACGGAGGTGGGGGTGAGCAAGCGGCGAGCGGAGCGCGTGGGCTGGAAGAAGACGATCAGATCTGAAGGAGCAGCGGAGATGCGCGTTACCTCGCTGCACGCGGAAGTTCCCAGAGCAGGACGACGGCGCAGGCCTGCGCGTGTTACACCCTCCCTCTCCGTACGCCGGCGGCGAGCCGGCGCGAAACCCTAGGATGCTCCGCCGCCGCGGAGGTGGCCGGAGTCGGAGGGGAGAAGGCGGGGGTTGGGGGGGAAGCCGAGCAGGAGAGGAAAGAATAGAAGGATGAGGAGAATTTTCTAGAGGAACACGAGATTCTCGAGTTAAGCCCAATATGCACGAAGGAGTACGGCCCAGTATGGGATTTCGGCCCAATTCCTCCGGAGAGGTCGAGATCCATATATTGGGCTGGATTTCCTTGGGCCTCAGGATTTAAATGGGCCCTGATTTTATCACTGCATTGAAACTATTGTTTTTTTTTTGTTTTTCATGCGACCGAGTTCAAATTCAAATCGTTACTTAGCGATGCTTGTATCATTTGTATCCACCACAACCAATAATCCCAAACACCAAATGAAAAATTCGTGGTGGCTCCCATAATGGTTTCCAGTTATGATATCATTTGCAAAAAAAATACTATTAACTCCGTTTTTTAATAGATGACGCTGTTGACTTTTTCTCACATGTTTGACCATTCGTCTTATTCAAAAAATTTATGTAATTATAATTTATTTTGTTATGAGTTATTTTATCACTCATAGTACTTTAAGTGTGATTTATATCTTATACATTTACATAAAAAAATTTAATAAGACGAATGGTCAAACATGTGAGAAAAAGTCAACGGCGTCATCTATTAAAAAACGGAGGTAGTATATAGCTGAGATCGCAAACTTGCAACAGATGAAGAGAGAAGAAGAATGACAGCATAGATTCCATGGAACAGTGCCAGGTAGCTCCAACCATTGCCATGGAGGTAGGTGTCAGGGTTACGGATACCACATACCTAATATTAGTTGACTAAATCTCGACAGGATCCACCACATACCATGTCTTATACGGAAACAACCTTCGGATATAAGAGGAGTTTCGCATAAGGAAGGATGACTAGAGTTCTACATTGAAACGACAAGGACTACTCGGATTGTATCCATATTGATTTCCCTAGTTCTACTTGGACAAGAGGACACCTATGGGTATAAATATAAGGCCCCCTAGGAGGAGAAGGGACAGACCCACCATAGAAGATACGGAACAACAGAAGCCACAACATACAAGCCAACATACGCCAAGACAAGACGCCGGATATCGACTTCAGAGATAGGCATGGCTAGTCCCCTACGGTGCCTACAGATACCGTTAGGAGAGATATAGAGTTGTCTCTAATCTCGCCGGATACGGATTCGAGGAGGAAGGCTACCCTGTTGTCGACTACGAGCCAGTACTACATACCGCCAAGTCGACAACAGTTAGATAGGCTACCCCAAATATTGTACTAGTTTGATTATGGTGAATAAGAGCGATACCGGCTTCGGCCAACAGGATGTAGGGTTATTACCTGACAATTCAGGGGCCCGAACCTGTATAAAAATCCCTATCTCCATCTCTTTTACCTCAATCTCGCATATACCCTAGTACCAATGATCCCCATGCTATGCAAATACCGGAATCGCGACATCAAACATCGACAGTAGGGCTATCAAAAAAGCTCGAAGCTCGCAAGCTGCTCGAGCTTGATTCGTTACAGGCTTGATTCAAGCTCGGCTCGAATACTAGACAAGTCAAGCTCAAGCCTAGGTTGAGGCTCGCAAGCCTAGCAAGCTCGAGCTCGAATAGCTCGACAGGGCTTGATTAACATAAGATGTATTGCATGTAAGAAGATATTCTTGATGGGACAATATATACTGGTCATCGTGCTTGACCTGCTCAAGTCTCAAGACCTCATCAATGCTTCTCAATAAAGCACTTATCCGGCTGCTAGTAATAGTACTACATTCCTATTAGATGTAGTAGCTAGCTTTTGTTAATTGCAACATTTCAAAGTCATGAATTCATGAGAAAAACTACAGAGGCTTCATTCAATACAAGTAGCATCCATTAATTTTGACTACCAATAATTTGTATTAATATCTCTTATACAAAAGTAAGTTCTTTGGAGTTTCACCAAGTCAAGCTGTCAAGCTCGAGTAGGCTCGAAGCTCGCTCGAGCTTGAACTCGAGCTCACTCCCAAGCTCAATCAGTATCCAGGCTCGGCTCGAGCTCAGCTCGAGTTCATGTCAAGCTCAAGCCTACATAGCCAAACTCGCTCGAGCTTAGCTCGTTGATAGCCCTACATGAAGGAGGAAGAAGGAGCTCCATACCTATGCCTACCTGCCAATATATCAAATCCACTCCAAGAAATTTAAAAGAACCCTGTGATGGAGCGTGGGGCTCCTTACCGGGAGACCGCGCAGGCCCCCCTTTGCCGGTTCGGCCGGGAGCCCTGGGTGAGATTCTAAGCTCCTGGTCTGTGGAAAGTTCGCGAGAGTGGAAACACAAGACACGGGCGATGTATACAGGTTCGGGCCGCTGAGAAGCGTAATACCCTACTCCTGTGTTTTGGTGGATCTGTGTATGAAGAAGCTACAAAGTGCGAGCCAGCCCCCGATCGTTCTGGGATCCGAAAAAATTTTCCTTCTAAGTGGGCAAGGTCCTCCTTTTATACCTCAAGGGGATACCACATGCACCATCTCTCTCTTTTTTGTGGGGACTTATCCTATCTATTCATAAACAGACGGAGACTTGTATGGTTGCCGTCCGAATGACCTTCTGATGGGACGGCCCATACCTACCTCCACTTCCGCCGGAAGCAGGCGCGACGTGGGAACATGGCTGTCTGCTGACGACATGACCAGTGTCAGACCGGTCACAAATCGGTCATTCTTGTCCACCATGCGTCAGTTTATCAATCTGCATGTTCGCCCCTCTTCATACAATGTCTTGCTTGTAATGGTTAGGATGAAGCCTGGTATATATCTGACCGGGACCAACGTGCCATCTCCAGGAGCTAACACGCCGGCTCCGGCTAGGGACGAGTGCTTGGAGGCTCTCATCCTGACGGGATGGGGCGAGGCGTGCGTCAGACCGCCTGTCGCCACCTAACCCACGATCTGATCGGTCTATGACTGGTCACTGACCGGATAAACGAGCGTGCTGCACTGCGATACATGCGGCGTGACGCGCTCGTCCAAACCGCAATAAATGTGGTTAGGTGAGCCCCGCTATGCTCACCTACCCCATATACACGGCACAAAACCCACAAGGGGTCGGGGCGCCTCGGCCCTCGGGGCCGAGACGGGAGCGGTCCGACCCCTCGGGGAGACAAAGAGAAGGGCGAACACATCACCCTCGGGCCCGACGCCCCCCGAGGGTGCCAGGCCACGTGGGCGATTGTGTCTGCCTCAAGCCTCTAGTCATGATACTCCCGGTCCCATGTCACCGACAGTAGCCCCCGGCGTTATGCCAGGGCGATCGCCCTCCCCGAGGGAAGCGGTCGGGCGTGACGCCACTTCTAAGGCCTGGTGACAGGTGGGGCCGGTTCCTACAGGTGCCGTCGAACTACATCACCCAGAGGGCGGTGTGAGGCAGCTGCGATGGGCTCGAGCTGGCCTCGGGAGCGGAGACGAGCTCGGGAGCTGGGGTCCACTCCACCACAAAGTCGGCGAGGGCCTGGCTCTTGATTGCGTGGCTTGGTTCAAAGCGCAAATCGAATTCAGAGAGTTCGATTGCCCATTTCACCACCCGTCCAGTACCCTCTCGGTTATACAAGATTTGGCCGAGGGGATAAGACGTAACCACCGTGACCCGATGCGCCTGGAAATAATGGCGCAGTTTCCTCGAAGCCATCAGAATAGCGTAAAGCATCTTCTGGGCCTGAGGGTATCGGGTCTTGGCGTCCCGGAGGGCCTCACTAACAAAGTAGACGGGCCGCTGCACCTTTCGGTGGGGCCGATCCTCTTCACTAGGGGCCACATCCCTGGGGCGCTCTTTGTCCAAGCGGCCTCGCGGGGTGCACTCGTCTTCTGTGCCGACGACCTCGGGGTCGGAGGACGACAGGGGCGGCCTTCCCACAGTGGCCTCGGGGCCGTCCTGGGGGTCGGGGGCTCCTGGCGTCGTCGGACAAGCGGGCAAAGGGCCAACTCCGGTCGTCAGGGGCCTTAGGCCACCGTTCGGCTCGGGGGCCTCTTCTCCCTGCTCTCTCCCGGGTCGAGTCGGCACAGGGTTAGCCTCGGGGTCAGAGGGCGATAGGTGCGGCCTTCCCGCAGTGGCCCTCAGGCCATCCTGGGGGTCGGGGGCGCCTGGCACCGTCGGACAAGCAGGCGGAGGGCCAGCTCCGGCCGTCGGGGGCCTTGGGCCGCCGTTTGGCTCGGGGGCCTCTCCTCCCTGCTCTCTCTCTCTCTTCGGGCAGAATCCCGGCGGTCGCAAATTGCGCGCATCAGCAAAGGAAAACCGACCGACAATAATGAGCGGCCCCTCGGCTCGCGTTTGCCTTCAACTCCAACGAGGAGTGCGGTGACGACGGTGCGGACGACAGCGATGGCGAGGCCGGCTACCCGGGCGCGTCGGAGTGAGCCCCCAGGCCTCCGCCAATCTTAATAGCTTTTCCTTCTTCTTCCGAGGCCTTCGGGCCCCCTTCTTGTTATAGGCTGATTTAATCTGCAATCAAATAAAGAGGAAATTTTTGTGTCAATTTCATTTGTTCTGTGTATGAGACGAGGATGGTCTGTGCCACGGTCCTTCTGTGTCTTGGCTTGAACAAGGGCTCGTACCCAGGTCCCAGCCTCAAACGGCGCGGGTCAAGGCTAGTGCCTGGGGAGATCCACATGTCGAGACTGGCCAGGCCGGGAGCGTGGTGACCGAGGGTTATGGGTGACCCGATTATGGGTTTTTGCCGATTCCCCCCCGGAGTTCACCACGTCCCGGGGCACGGCTCGGTTCTGGGCCCCTTTTGGCGATTTTAGCCGACCCGAGCCCCCGAGGGTAGGATTGAGCACGAGTGACCTATTTCAAGTCAAGATTCTTCAAAAGGAAACAAAAGCACAGACACAGCCTTTAGGAAATCGAAAATGCTTTTATTGAAATACGGAAGAGAAAAAAGATAAGCCCCCGGCCAACCCTGCACGCCCGGGGGGGTGCGGGGTTGGCCCGAGCCCAAGACCTGACACCCAACCCCCACTAGGGGTAGAAGCGACGAATGTGTTCGATGTTCCACGGGTTAGGCAGCTCTGTGCCGTCGCCCGTG